AAAACTCAAATGGAAATACCAATGGGATTTGGTAACTGCTTCAACAGATTGCGGATGATACTAGTAGATTGCCACTGATTAAAAGTAGCTCTTCTCTGGCTTCATAATTGTGACCACAAACTCTCAGTGCTTTGAGGAGATGCACCGTATATTTCCATGTGCTTAAGTCAGGTTCTGTCCCCGATCATATATCAAAAAAACATAGAGTTAAGTTTTGAGTATTCAATTACATATGTTTTCTCAATATCTTTAGTTAGTGTAAATTCTCACTCATTATCACTACATAAATATGCTTAGATACAAACCTCTTTCAAAGTTCCAGGTACACTGAAGAATTTGTAGATGGCGTAAAAGGGAACAAACAGCATGGATGACATGGCTACTCCCCAGCCCAAAATGTTGGCCCAGTAAGGGAAGGTGTAGTCATCATATTTCAGACCTCCTGACGTCAACGTACTGGCTATGACAACAAACTGTAAAAGTAAATGTAAAAAGGTTTTTAGAAAAGCAAAAGTGGTGGACAATATAATAATATCAATGATTTATGTATTACAAAGCCTCTAAGAATTATACTTGTGAACTTGGCTGCTCATATTGACAGTATGAACTTTCTAATTATCTAAAACCTAAAAAAATCTTAGTACTTTTTAATGCATGTTGTCGTCCTTCATCTGCACAATACTTTTCCTCTCTTGCTCTCGGTGAAGGAGGACGCTTTTCCCCTCTGCATTCCTCTCTGCAGGGCAGAGAGGGAGCAGAGGAGAGAAGGGAGAGACCTGTCTTTTTCTATATTTTTGGAGCCTTTCTTTGCACATCCTCCAAATCTACAAATTATGGATCTGGTCAACCAGTCTCTCAATGCAATTGATCAAATTTTCTCGACGAGAAGAGGGCATAGGAGAGCCCTCTTGTCCTGCGGGGACAGACCCGGATTCACCCCAGATTTATTCATGATAAGAGGATTTCTGCTAGGAGGCTGTGCAGGCTCTCTTTTTGTTATGCAGGATCAACTGTGAGAGCACATCTTCCTGATTGGCTGCCTGAAGGCTGCAGGAAAGCAGCTACACCATTGGACCAGCAGAGGATTGTCAAGCCAAACAGATGTTGATGAGGCCCACCTGCACCATATAAAAGACTCCTGAACCCATTCCTCCAGTGGGGGCAGCTAGTTGGAAGAGGTTTTGTGAAGCTGGGCCTCTTGTTTGGTGTTTGCAACTGCTTTGGCTAGTTTTTGAACAATTTGGTCTTGTTCAGTTGAGCAATTTTGACTTTTCTCTAGTTTAACTTCACAAGCTAGAAGCTCGTGTTTGGGAGGCTTGGTGCTCCCCTTAGCATTCCCTTTGTGTGTTATGTTTTTCCCCCCCTTTTGGGTTATTTTGAATTTACTTTGAATTGACTTGTTTGGACATTTTGTAACTTTAATTTGCACCTGACATTCTTGAGTTTGTTAATCCCTTTTGTTTTGCATTAATTGAGGTAAATTGTATTGTTTTGTGAAACTTTCTTTTGCAATAAATCATTTTACATTCCACTTGTTTCTCTGGACACATTTCATGTTACTGCCCCAGGGCCCCTAGACCTTGGGGGCGTAACACTGCTGTTTGAACTTTGTGGATACCTGGATTATCAACAAATTTGTGACGGACTTAGCCGAACTAGTGAACACTCAGACTGTTGGTGTGGATAGAGACGGAAGTTGGATGTGAGTCTTGCTGAGACTAGCAGTCCAGCTGAGGACTCTAAAACTCACTAATGGGATGGAATCGATCTTGGAGAAGTTGCTAGTTTCGGCTCAGTGGAACAACCAAACTAATTTGGATAATTGGGAACTGAGATGTATCGGAGAGACTTTAGGAAAGATTGAAATTTATAATCTACCTGACCTAAGACATTCTGTATCTGAATTGGCTTTCCCTGTGTTGTCTTGGAAAGGCTGCATGTTTCCAATCTCCTTGAATATATGTAAACATAACGCCCCTTCCCACCTCACCTCCTCCTGTTATCCATGCAGCTGTGGAGCTGAGCACTCCCAATTCCCTGATAACATTTTTATCTGACTTCTGAAGAGAGGCTGAGCAACGTGGTTTCATGACCCTGTGATGTCACCGCCGTCACTCATGTCTTTGTTTTGCCCTTTGTTTTGTCTGAATGTTGCCATTTGCCCTAATGTGTCCTTTCTTCTTTTTATTTTATTTTTGTTAGAAACTGTGGAGTACTCACTTTCAACTCAGAAAAGAAAATAGAGCAAACTTGGAATCCAGACACTCTAGTTCATTAGTCACTCTTTAGATTATATTTTAAAAACTGTAGTGTAGTCACTATTTAGATGCAGAGAGACTCCTATTATTGCAACCCAGAAAAGGAATTAGAACGAAATTAGAATCCAGAAAAAAAATATTCCAGAACAGGAACATTTAGGTTTTATTATTACTTATAAACTGTGGAGTACTCATTACTTTTACAAATTTAGAGCACGCTTAGAAAGTCCAGAATATACTTATCTAGCATCCCAGAAGTCCAGAAGATATTTACTTACTTACACTGATTTAGCAACCCAGAACAGGGATTATAGCTTAGAATCCAGAAAAACTACCATAGCAACTACTTTTTAGACTCCTATTCTTCTGAATCAGAAAAGGAATTAGACCAGCGGATACTTACTTATATTTATCTACCAACCCTGAATAGGAGTATCTAGTTTATTTACTTTGGATCAACATTATTAGCTTTTTCTTCTTTTGCTCTTTCCTTTTGTTTGTTAGTTTGTTTGTATTTCCTTTTAAATCCTGTAAAGCACTTTGTATTGCCTTGTTGCTGAAAATGTGCTATGTAAATAAAATTACTTTTACCTTTACATAAGCAGCTCATGCACAAGCTTTGTGTAAATTCATTTGGCATTTTAATCCATTACTTCATAAAAATAGATGAGATATTTGATCAACATTATATCCCTTTTTACATCCTGCAAGCATTAGGGATAAAAATCTGAAAGAAAGGGGGAACATTAATTGTAAACTATAGTGGAATGCTAAAGTCGATTTTAAAACATTGTTTTTTATTTACATACCACAACTTAAGCCTGTGCTTTGACAAAAAAGAAAATAGTTACTCTAGAAAAGTGCTTTTTTTTATTATTGATGTTGTTTACTGCAGTTGAATGAGCAAGAACAGGAATTGTGTTTGTGCCAATGCAATATCTGCGCAATATCAATTTAACCATGATGCCTGGTGTGACATTCTTGTTTAAATTCCTGAATAGTGTTTGCTTTAACTTTTTTTGAAGTGTTGTGACATGTTTATTAGGCCCGAGCAGCTAAGCGCTGCGAGAGCCTATTGTTCCTGTACTGTTTCTTATTATTACGATTC